TTTAACAAAATAAGAGCTGAAAAGCAACTATGCAAATGAAATTAGCATAAAAGTAGTTAGGTGTGACAACCTTTTTTCGTGTAGTTAACTAATAATATCATTATTAAATATTTATTACAAGGTAAGTAATGTTGTTAGTTTTTACAGTTGTTGCTAATTATTTATAATAGTTAAGTCAATAATAATAGTTATCATTATTAAATAAATATTAGTAATAAATTGTTTTAAAAAAATTACCGACTTACATAAAAACTCAGATTTTTTTTAATTTTTATGTTCAGTTTGTTATCAATTTACTCGTAAAAAACTAAAAAATTAAAGACAAAATGCTTAGCAGTGACAATGTAAGTCTGTAGTAAAGTAAACAGATTGAAGCACACATTTACTTTATTTTCATGTTAATTTCATTTACTTCAGCTCGAATTTTCACAATATTTTTATTTATAATATTTTAATTTTTGATATTTTTAAGTAATAATTAAATTTGTCAACGAATTTAAAAAGTTTGTTTGCGAAATTGAAAATTTTTCGGCGAATATAAAATGTCAATAACTTCGTAACCATGGAAACAACGGTTACAATTTGCAAATCGAAGATAATGAATGTTACTACTCAGTTACTTAAATCGGTGATTTTTTGCGGTTGAAATAAACAATTTACAATGTTCAAATAACTTGTGTCCCGCTTTTTTTTAACATTATATAACATAATTAATCTATATACCAAAGGATATCTTGGGGTCCGGAAGTGAAATATTTATATTATGTGAAGACATTAACCGACCGCACTAGGGGGCAAATTTAGCAGTATACTATATTCTTATAATTTAAGAATGCTTCAATTGTCAATACATATTACATATCTTGTCATAAGCATTATTAAAATGAATTTATTATCTATATATATATATATATATATATATATATATATATATATATATATATATATATGTTGGTAATAGACCATAATTTTTACAATATTCTAAATTCTACCGAATGTTTGGTGTTAACGCCAAACATTCGGTAGAATTTATAGAATATTGTAAAATATATATATATATCATTGTACCTTGAAAATCATTGTTTTTATGTTTAATTTACTATAACCATGAAAAGTTAAATTTTAGCAGCAACAGGTTTCCATCATCAGCTAAATTCAGGTGACCTGACATCATCCTGGAAGAACTTACCAACCCATCACCAAAATACCAAGGTGCCACACCAGCAAGACAATCCCTAACTATAGACTTTATTCTTTGTTTGACTTAACTTAGTTTACTTTTTAGTTTTTACTATTTTATTTTACAATATAATTTATTTATAAAAGTACGTAGTATATAAATATAGATATGTATATTAAGGTGTGTCAAATTTTAAAGTTTTTTTTGAAAAAACCAGGGCATGGCAAAAGAAGCTTTTTGATGTTCTGTTTCCGTTGGTGTCTTTCAATTTTGAATGGATGCACTTTAAGCTTGGTAAATTTTGAGTGAAAGTTTTGCAAACATACTACATTATTTACGGGAGAGCGGGTAACATGACTTTAAGTTGAATGTACCCCCATTGTTAGTTATGCTATAAATCATGAAAAATTCATAAAGCAGCATTTGTCAAGCTTGAAGTGCATCTCTTTAATCAGATTTTGCAGTTTCACCTAATATTGTAGGTTATAAAATAAGACCACAATTAACGCACATAAAATGTTGTTGACTTGTTTTTATGTTTTTCAGATATTGCAATAAATTAGAGAACTACTATCATTGTTATTTTGATTCTGATTATGGCCTCCCAGAGAAAAGACCTCCACTCATCTTAGTCATTATGTGGGGTCTGGCAGGGAGATCATTACCTCAGAGTTACCAACTGTGGGAGATTTATTAAGATACAGTATTCTGCTAAGGCAGTTGAGCGAGAAGGACAAAAAATTATACCAAAAAGAACTAGCCAAAGATGTTATGACTGCCCTCTTTTCTTAGTGAACCAAAGCAAATTCTAAGTTTAAATATCCTGTTGCTATTTATGAAGTAACAATCCAGGAAAGAATCGTTAATTTGTGGAAAGCTACTGATGTGTCACTTGGCAGAAATCTTGTTTGGTTGATATGTGATCTTCACAAAAATGAATTACCACTGAGACATCTTATTCAAGAATTGGATGGTCAAACACTGAGCAATAATCGATGGTCAGGACCAATTGGTGAGATGCTTGATGATGCAATAGACCTGGAAATAAATCCAAATTTTATCAAGATAACTGTTGGTCCTCCATTGATTGAGTTAAAACAGAGTTTGATTGATGACCTCAGCACAGACCAGTATTATGGATACATGATTGTTAATGCTATCAGATCTGGTGTTGTGCCTGACAGGCTTGTGAACTTACAGATTGGACCTGTCACTCAAATGGTTGACTACAGCTCTAAGATGTTGCAGATTATGGGTTTCCAATCATGGTCTGAAAGATATGCCACTTAGAAATTTGAAATTGATTGTCGAATTTATAGTCGGAGTTTACATGCTTAATTGGTTTAACATCAAAGTAAAGCATAGTTGAATTGATGATCCGAGACATGTTCTTTTTCAGCTTGAGCTTTTGAGAAGCCAAGACAAAGATGTGATGTAGATAGTAATGCATGTGATAAGAAGATCAGCCTGGTATGCACATTCTGAAGCTGTCATCCAGACACTGATTTGTAGTGACAAGGAGGAAGAAAGAAAAGTTGGAATTGAAAAGATTCTTGAAATCAGAGGAAATGCAGATGAGAATGTTCAGATGAGGGATATGAGTTTAAGCCAAAGGGTAACACCAGAGATCAATCCTGATGCCAGCAGTCTACTTGAACTCATTTATTGGGATTC